AGAGAGAGAGAGAGAGAGAGAGAGAGAGAGAGAGAGAGAGAGAGAGAGAGAATTTTTAATATTTATTTTTTAGTTCTCGGTGGACACAACATCTTGTTGGTACGTGGTGCTGAGGATCGAACCCGGGCGCATGCATGCCAGACGAGCTACTGCCTGAGCCACATTCTCAGCCCCCATAGATCACTTCTGAGATCACATTCTTGCTCAGCTTCTTCCTGTCCCCTGTCCCACTTTTTTTTTTCCTTATTAGAGGACATTTTTTCCCTAAGAAAGCATTTCTCACAAGACCACATGCACATGAGTCTGTCTTAGGCTTCTAGAAACTGACCTAAGACAAGAACCACATTTCTTTGATTTTTAAGCCACATGTATTTTCACATTTTAACAATTCCCAAGTCAGGTTGGATCTTAAAATCACTGTTGGCTAGGCTAAATTTTCTGACATTTTTTGCACTTTGAAATGAAAATGTGCAGAATGAGTGTCAAGTCTTTGAAGAAAACCCTAGGACAACAGAGGAGCATTCCTTTTCTGTATCATCCACTTCCTTGATGACACAGTACAGTCCTCAAAGACTCTGAGTTGAATAGTTGAAAAAATCAAGAGTCAGACCAAATGACTGAAGATCTTAGGAATGTTTTAGTGTATTTACTTTGCTTTTACTGTATGCAAAATCGTGATTATATAATGAGCTTCATTGATATAAACCTAAATGAGCTCATTCAAGAATTGTAAAAACAATTTTGAGTGATGATTATAACAAGGGTGACACTGCATGCAGTGGGGAGGGGTGGCCTTTTTGGAGTCCACATTGGGGGAAATCTTCATTCTTCTAATTGACACCCATACTCAAAATCAACCCCAGAGGGACAGTAGATCTAGAAGTGGGAAAAACAAAACAATGAAATTACTGAAAGATAAAACAGGATACTATCTTCAGGAGTTGTTTTGGGCACATGTTTTTTAATCAGTACCCCAAAGGCTTAATTATAAAGAAAAAACATTAATAAATTGAACTGTGATAAATTAAGAAATGTTTTTCAAAGTGGGAGAAAATATTTATAACATGTGCATCTGACAAAGAGTTGTATTACATATAATAAAAAGAGCTCACACAAATCCCAGATAAAGAGACAAATATTCTGACAGAATTATGGGCAAAAGCATGGATCAACACATCACAAATAAGGATATCAATGGTCCATAAAGATAAGAAAGGTTTTTAACCCTTTTGATCATCAGGAAAATGCAAATTAAAACCACAAACCATACCATTACACATCCATGCAAATGGCTACAAAGGCAGACGGTATCGAGTTGGGGCTTTTGGTAGTGCATTCCAATTACACATGGCATATTTGTACATGTGTATAACATACTGGCCTCATGTCCATCCCACAATACCCTTCCTTTCCCCTGCTCATGATCTCTCTCCTCTTCCTCCTCCTTCTTTTTCTTTTTTTCTAGATTCCACATGTGAAATAAAACATGTCATACTTTTCTTTCTGAGTCTGGCTTATTTCACTTAACATGATACACTCTAGTTCCATCCATTTTCCTGCAAATTACATAATTTTGTTCTTTTTTTTTTAACTGATGAATAATCCTCCATTTTGTATATATACCGATTTATCCCTTGATAGTCATCTAAGCTGATTCCTTAACTTGGCTCTTGTGAATTGTGCTGCTATAAACAAGGGTGTACAGGTGTCTCTATTATATGCTGACTTTAATTCCTTCAGGTATATACTGAAGAGCTGTATAGCTAGATCATATGATAGTTCTATTTTTAGTGTTTTAATTTCCATAGTAGCTGTACTAATTTACATTCCCACCAACAGTGTAGGAGCTCTGGCTCTCCACATTCTTGCCAGCATTTGTTATTTTTTCATACTTGATAATTGACATTCTTACTGGGGTGAGATGAAATCTCAATGTAGATTTTACTTGCATTTCTTTGATAGCTAATGTTATCAAACATTTTTTTCATG